ATCTCGCATTGTTCATACACATCTTTGAAAGGTCTGGGACCTGCAAGCACAAATGATGTTTCCTACAAAATCAGCAGAGTAGATGACCGCATGCTTTGTGAAGTTGCTTTGTATGGTGGCCCCTTTGGTGCCAGAAAAAAAATTGCTTGCTGCGGACTGATGATACTGTTGCTGGTGAAAAATTTAGCTGTGGCACCAAGTCATGCCTGTCTCTGAAAGAGGACTTGTAACTTAGCTGCTTCAGAGTTATGTCTTTATTTTAGTTTTTATCCGACTGGTCTTGAAATAATAAAGAGAGAGCTTGCATTCATTCATAAGGCAGTTGTTGTAAATGTTCAATATATTTATTTTGAAAGAGCTGACCTCGAGACTGTAAACCAGTATAGTACCGTATCTAAGTGTTGTGGAAGCGCTTTAGTCTATTTAAAAAAAAAAAAAAAAAAAAAAAAAAGAAAAGCATCATGTTTGGCTGCTTCTTTTTCCTTTTACAGTTTTTTTAATTTTTAGGCTGTACGGTCATTCCCAGTAGCAGCATGTCAAACTGCCTGCAATATTAGCTAAAGTTTAGTAGACCTCCCTAAGTAGTTGGCAGTTTCTGTGTACTAAATATTTCGGGGCCATGGAAGTTGCTAAGAGCAACAAACTAATCTGGCAGAGCAGATGCCAGCGAAAACAACATACAGGGTGACTTTTTACCAAGTCGGTAAAAAGCCTTTTGCTCAGGTTCCAAAGCATGTTTCTCTTTCACATGTTGTGAAAATTGTATTTAATATTGCACTGTTTTCAGATGATCTCTGTAAATGGTCCTTTTTTTTTCCCTTTTTTTTTTTTTTTTTTTCCCTCTTCTTCCTTCCTGGTGGTTTGAAACAAGCCAATGGTTTGAATCCTGATTAAGTTTTAATGATGGGGATTATAAAAAGGTCATCCTAGCAGATATCTAGGATGATCTTAACTGTTCTTAATCGGTTTCATTTCTATACATGCACACATGTTCATAAATATAGATTGATGTCGTATATGGCTCGCTCTCCTGATTTCCTGATTTCACGCTGCCGCAGTTATCCAGTTTTCCTCCCTTTCCCACGAGGCGTGCACGCGCGCCCCGCTCCCGTCCCGCTGCTGGCAGCAGCGCGCGGCG